AGATTATTTCTGACAGGATATACTAGCTCATTTTATTTGACCTTAATATTGATATCTAATTTTCTCATCATTGATTTTAGGCAGGCATCGAGATATACATCTAGGATGTCTTTTACCCTCATTTTTACCACTCTTTGCCGTCCTAGATGGCCAGTTCATCTTTATCTGGTACCATACCCTAAACCCAAAACCCTTGTTTTCAATCCTCATGCATTCTCTCTTTATTTTATATCAGCAGATATGTTCAAAAACGTCGGAGAGAAGAGGAGCGACGCAGTTTTCAATCACTCACGAGGAAGACTGAATGGAATTGGGAAGGAAGAGTATCAGAAACCTTATTAAGCTTTACAAGACTGATTTTAATTGGTAATTTCGTGCTCTCTATGACTCTATATCTAAAGGTGTTCCCTCTTTCAAAAAAAAAAAAAATGAAAGAGAGGGAAACAAAAAGCCTAATGAGTTCTAGATTGTCGAAATTCTTGGAGCAAAAAGCAACCACTATTCGTTTGAAGACCTATGGTTTTGAAAGATTTACAAAAATCTAAGTCTGGGGGAGTTAGGAGAGAACCTGAGGAAGAAGACCAGGAATATATGGCAAGAAGAAAGTGACTGAAAACTGTGGATACCAACATCTTCACTCTCTCTTGCGGTTTTGCATACTATCTTGCACCCTCCAGATCTTCAGGTAACCCATAAACACTTAAAGCCTACCCCTAGAATAACACTTTTCACACCTAGCCCAGATTGCCTTGCTTAACCTTTCTTTGATGAGAACCACCGAAATTTTTAATGAATGTTAAGAGCTAGTTGACTGGAAGTTAGATCTTAGTGCAATAGATTTCCGCATGACGGATTAACGGACTAGTTATGCCTGTATTGCTAGTGAGAATTTTTTTAGGATATTCCCGATTGATGCATAATGATTGATATTGGTCTAGAAGTTTGGTCTCTGAGATTTTGTTAAGTTCCTGCGTTTTCAAGCCTCTTACCGAGATTTGGCCTTTCTTTTGTTTGAGGACAAATAAAAGATTAAGTCTGGGAGAGTTGATAACACCGGATTTTGACCATTTTTATGGATCACTTTAATGTCTTTTACAGGTGTTTTTACTCCATTTTCAAAGGTTTTCAAAGGATTTCTATGTTTTCAGATTTTAAAAGACTTTTCAGGTAATTTGAGATAAAGAGGCATAAATTAGAACAAAAAGACTCTTTTGGATAAATGCAGACCGTCAGAACTCTCATGGAGAGACGAAGACAATCTCACCGTCTGATCACCCTCAAAATTGGACAAATTATAGAAGAATCAACCAGCTTTCAAATGCACTTGGTTTAGAGACATTCCAACGGTTGGATATGAAGATATTCCATTTGCCCCGGAGACACTCGAAGACGGCCAGCAAGTCACACGACCGCAGCCACCAGCCTATTTCCCGCAGTCACAAGCTTCACGACTGCGGCCAAGCTTCTATTTCCCGTGGTCACGTTACTCCAGACCGCGGCCGGCCAACTCTGATTAAAAGCCCATATTTCTGAAGCCCAAAGTCATTTCTCTACCTCATTTCCGGAACCCTAGAGCCCATGGAGTATTTGAAGACTATAAATACTTGTCATTTAGGTCGTTTTTAGAGAGAACCTTCATACTTTTATAGAAACCCTTTTTCCTTTAGCCGTTTTATGCGATTTTTAGAGAAGATTGTTCAGCTCTGAGTTCTTCAATAGTGAAGCTTTCTTTCATCTCTTTTCTTTACTATTTTTGATTACTTTTATTAAAACCAATGATGATGTCGGCCTCAGCCATGTCTGAGTAGATCTCGAGTTGGGATTAGGGTTCCTGAAAGGGGCTCTCATAATCGATTAAGACATCTAGGTTTATAGATCTGGGATTTTAACTTTGTTCTCTGTTTATTCTCGTTCTTATTGCATGTATGCTTGATTGATCACCTAGTACTGATCTAAATAGTTAGTGTTGCGAAAGTTTTCATTAAGTATCAGACCTAGAATGAAACAGGCAATTTTTCCGTAGGAGTGGAAATCTACCTGTGGAGAAATCGTGAGTACTGACGAGTCCTGTGCAGTTCTTGTGTTCTATCCCTTCCAGGGCCAGAGTGGAAACCTGCTAGCCAGGGTTGTGAGAAACAGTTGGTTATGATCACGACAGTGATGTAGTCATACCGCCATACTCTAGCTCTAAAACCCTATATTTTGATATCCATCAATCCCAATCTATAATCCCTAGTGTTAAAACCGATTATGATCCCTGTAGAGTTCCCAAAAGCTCAGCATTTTTAGCCATAGTTTACAAACCAATCGATTTTTTACTTGCTCATTTAGATCTGCATTTCATTTACTTTAGTTCGATATTTTGCTTGTTTCATTTGCCTTTCATTCGACTTTTACTTGCTCTTTAGGATATATTTATTTGCTTTCTTTAGTTTTAGTTTAATCTGTGACAAACAACCAACCCCTAAAACCAATCTAGTCTAGACAATAAGTTAGAAACCGTAGAAGAATACCAGACACACAAATCTCTGTAGATTCGATCCCTAAATACTACAACTGATTAGCTGTGCACTTGCGGCTTTCATTTGTTTTTATTAAGGGTAAAACTTGTTCCCTCACGCAGTTGACTCGCATCAGAACCCCACCGACGGCTTCCGCTGCTTGCTGCGGCTCAGATGTATTTTCTTCTTCTTGGCTTCTCGTTCTCCTCACCCACCGCCGTCCTCAAAGCAGTCTCAGATGTGGACAAAAAAGCATGCCTCTGTTGAATACAGGTAGTTCAGCCACCGTTCGCTCCGTCGGAGAGTTTTCCACGCCTCAGCATCACCGGAAAAGGAGTGGCAGAGCACTATTGGTTCACCTTGCTTTCACCGGAGCATTGAAGCACCCAACAACCTTGAAATTGTTTTATCTATGAGATAAGAACCGACAAGAATGACAGATAATTTCCGTAAAACGGAAGAGATCATTGGCTGTAGAAAATCAAGAATTAATATAATCCATAAAATTGAGGTATAAAAATAATGATTAATTTACAGATGAACCTTAACATAGTTCCAAAGATACCAAATGAATTGTTTACCTACGTTATGATAACATAGTTTTGTGTTTGCGTTTGCAAGAAAGATATTAACTGACAGAAAAGAGAGATAATTCCTGTAAAATGGAGAAAAAGGTCTAGACTAATTAAGATATGAAATTTAATATGATATCAAAACGACTAAATATATTATTTAACAATGTTTCATGTTGTTGTTTTGTGCTAGCACTAACGAAATAAGAATTGACAAAAAGGACACACAATTCCCCTTAAACAATGAAAAAGTTCATGGTAGGATGAATAGAAAATTAAATACACCGTAACTTTAATATATACATGATGATTAATTTAAAGATGAAATTGAACTTGGTATCAAAGCTACAAAATAGATTGTTTACTTATGCTCTATTACTATGTTTTTGTATCCGCGCTTGCAACAAAGATACAAACGGATGAGAAAGAGTAACAATTTCAGCAAAATAAAGAAAAATTTTTGTCTAGAAAGAGTAAATAATTAAAATAATTTATTGATATTATATTTACAAATAATAACTATTTTAGAGATAAAGTTTAACATTATTTTAAAATTACCAAAATATTTTTTTAAATTATTATAATTATTTGATGAAAACCTTTGTATCCGCGCAAAACGCGGACCAAACACCTAGTAGAGTATGTAAGAACAATCAGTTTTACCAAATAATTTTTGTTTAATAAAAAATTGACATTTATTCATCAACTAGATATGTATCCGCAAATATACGAGGTTTGTATTTTTATATTTTATAAGCCCTGAAAAACCAAAAAAAAGAAAAATTAAATAAACACTTTAGAACATCCACAAAAATATATAATATAGTTATTAGCTGTGTACAATCATTTTAATTATTTTTTTTGTAACATATATATTACCAAATTGTGGTTTATATAGAGATAAACTATGAAAGTCTTTTTAGTCTAATGGTTAGTCAGAGATTCATTAATATTTCTACACCAAAAGATCTAAGTTTTGAATTCCGAAAAGTATAATGATTTAATAATAATTTCCAAATTAATAGAGACAAATTTATTAGAAATTTTCAACTTAGTGTATGGAGATCCGTTTACAGATCAATACTTATATATATATACATATATATAGAGATAATTTTTTTTTCTAAGTTTAATTTCTTTAATCTAAATGCACTAAACTAAAGAATTATGATATATTTTTTAATTTTCTCATCTAATCTGAAATATGGTATTGAGTTACTAATTTCAAATCATTCTCCTTTATATAGTAAAATAAGATTAGATTAGGTTTGAATTAATTTAAGATTTTAAATCTGTTTTTAATATTCTCATTTATTTAGAAGATTGCTTCTGGAGGTTTCTGAATAATTTGTATAAATTTCAGATATATTTTGATTACGATTTGAAAAATCATAATCTTTAAAACTATTTTCTCCATACCTAAACACGATTTTGGTGTAGAGTATAAGGATCATAATTATAGATGTTATCAATTTAAATCTAGATATTTTACTTTGATTAACCTCTTCTAATCTAGTTCTAGTTTAATACAAAGACTGACCAACAAGATTAAGCGTTTAATATATCTTGGGATTTCCAATTTCTCGCCAATCGCGGGAGGACTAGTTAGGGATCGAGCTGTTGCTCCTCAAATCTCGATGCAAATTAGAAAAAAAAATATACAGTAGAATATTTTATCCTTTTTTTTCTAGTTAATGTAAGCTTAATCCTCTTCTTAATCTCCTATTTATAAACCCTTTCCCGTTTCATTATTTGAAATAGATTTACGTGTTAACATTCTACAGTCCTCCCTCTTGAGCTATAACCTTTTTTGTTTTTTTACATCAACCCATATTCCTTTTCTAGGGTTTTTGTTTTTGAAAAAGAAATTGGATCACACATCATTTTCTTCTTCTTTTTTTGTTTTTGTTTGAATCTGAGGGTTATAATGGTGGAACTCTTATTTCTCCTGTCCTTTTTGGTCGAACTACAAAGTAATTGCTTTCATATGAATCTTGAGAGCATAATAATGAAAGAAGGAGCGATTGTTATTTCAATGCTCTTTAAGAGACCAGTTTCATGGTTGTCTTTTCTTGTCCCACCAGTTCTTTACGTTGTAGGACTTGGGTTCTCACAAATCCTCCTAATGTCAACTGCTTTGTTCTTCTCATCTTTCTTCTTTCCTCTCTCAATCCAAAAACCAAACCCTCTAATAGACTCCAAGGTTCAAGATCATGAACAAGATCAAGACAATTTTTTAGCGCACATCGAAATACCTACAACCAATGAGGAAATCGTCAGAACTAATGACGAAGATGAAGGAACAATTCCTGATGAGGAAAGCCTCATAGAGCTCTCCTTACCTAGCGGTCACTACGTTGGCCACCACTTCAGTACTATGGCTGGACATCAAGATTTCAGGCTTATCCAACTATCAGCCGAGTTTGAAGATGATAATCTAATCGAAATTGACATTTCCATCGGATCCATCAAGTGCTCCGGCTTTCAGATCAAAGCCTGATATTATACATATTCATATATTTTCTATAAACCATCCGGTATTTTTGCACATCACATGTGCTCTGTGTTTTAAGTTTTAGATCTCTCCAGTCCTGTGGGGTTTTGCTATGATATTGTTATATACAACACTTCCAAGTTTTACAATTTCTTTTAACGGTGCCTAAGATCCAATCAGTAGGAAATATACTAAACACATTTACTATGTAATAATTAGTTAAATAAAAATGGCAAAATTAATAAATATGATCATATTTTGTGTATTGAATCAATATGCTAAGTCATTGATTAAGTTTTATATGACTAACATCATTAGGGAGACTAGATTTTAATAAAAATGTTTTGAAGACATTTGAAAGAAAGTTCCAGAAAAACCGAATAAAATGTCCTAAAGATATTTGAAAAAAAGTTCCAAAAGAACCGAGATATATGTCGTCCAGAAGACATATATAAAAGGGTTTCAGAAAACCATATAAAGAGATATGTGAGAAGATGTGGCTACATTCAATTTTTTCTTATCATGGTTTTTGTCTTAATGAATTTTTTCATGAAGAGGTTTTAACGAGACAACAAGGAATGCGCAAAATGTAGACTTCCAAAGAGGAACACTTTTGGGAGGAGAATTCTGGGAGGAGAAGTATAATGATATGCGTAAATGTAATTTTTTCCCTTACCATGCTTTTTATCCTACTGGATATTCTATGCTGAGGTTTTTAACGAGGCTTCAAAGAATACACAAATAATAGATATCTAAGAGTTCAAAGGAAAGTATTAAAATTCTAATAACGTAAAAGTCTAGACTCATCTATCCAAGAAAAAGACTTATATACATTTTTCAAGGGGAATTTTGCTGCATTTTTTTCTCTTGTCATAGTTTTTATTCCAAACAGATTTTTTGGTGATAATATTTTTAACGAGACAATATGTAATAAATTGGTTATGATAGATAATCAAAGGGGGATATTGAAAATGGATATGATTATCCATGTTACCAACTCATCTACTTACTTACCCCCTAAAGCGTATTTACCTCTTAGAGACTTACCGCCTTACATGCTTACCAACTCACTATTATTATATATATATATATATATATATTTTATGTTGTATAAACATGTACATTAGATTTTATTGCATAAAATATATACTAGGTGAATACCCGCACGTTACGTGCGAGTTTTTCTTTTCAAAATTTTCAAATTTTTTTTATATTTTTATAAAAATTAATATAATCATTACTTGTTACTTACTTACTTGTTAATGTTTTATTCTAAAAAAATTATAAAATATTACATATTGAATATTATTTAATAATTTAAAGTTATATTAAGATTAATAAATATCATTCAATATTGTTAATTAGTTATAACATAAATTTTTGTTTAACATTTACAAAAATATTAATTGATAGTCAATTAATTAAAAAAATAAAATTAATATAATCATCATTTCATTTGTTACTTGGCAGTATTTTATTATAAATAATTTTAAAAAATTAATTTAAAAGACATCTTGAAAATTATTAAGTAATCTAAATATTATTAAGTAATCTAAAATTATATAAAAATTAAATACATATCTATCAATATTTTTAATTAGTTATATCATAAATTTTTGTTTAACATTAATATAAATTTTAATTAAGAGTCAATCAATAAAACAAACTTTTCATATTCTTTAAATGTTTTAAAATTTAATATTAAAATTTATTAATTAAAATTTAAGGACATGTGTCAACCTATCCCATGCTGATGTGTCAATCATATGAAGAAAGTAGAGCAACTTTTATATATAAGATTAACTTCACATAACCAACTTTTACATCTATTGAATATGAATTTGAGTTACTTTTGATGCACAGATTGATATATAAATAAATTTGGGGGTATAAAATGATGCGATGATGTATATATAGACATATAAACACTGGTTATAACCTAGATATGTAATTCCTTAGAACAGGAATTTGGTAATGATTATTTTTTTTTTCTTTGAAATCAGATGATTCCTTTAATTTAGCTGATAAATTTCTTATAATATGCCTAACTCATGATCATAGATAAATCCGTTGTCAAAACGGACTAACCTGCATGTCAACTAAAGTATTATTCAGGTTAACCCAAAAAATCTTATAATCTTGAAATCATCAACTCTAATATACACAATTTAATAACTATGAATTTTTTTAAAAATCAATTTTCTCGTATCTATTTTTTTTATAAAGTTAGTGAAATGTTTTTTAATTGTAGATTTGATATAATATTCAAGTAAGGATTTAACAAATTATATTGATATATATATATATATTAGGGATAAATTGATCATTCGTACGTGGACAAACTGTGGGCTTGCACATGACATCTATGACCTTTTTTGCAGGTACGACCCTCTGGACCAAATTATGATTCATATTGGAATTACAGCCCAATATGACCTAAGCATATAGCATCGAACCTCGAATCCATTTGGATTTGGGAGATCCGGCATAATATACCACATGTTCTTGGGTTCTTTGTATCTGACAGCGCATGCCACGCTGTCAGAGGCAAAAATGTCAGAAACTGAGTGGTCAAGAGCAGGAGAAGTCACATTCCCTATGTCTTAGGCCTAAGCTCGGTAATACGGAATGGTCGGGATATAAAGAAGTGTGACCTGCACAGATACCTGGAAAATGGATTCGTTCATGGAGACAGTCCGGACCCAGTATCGAGCGATCCGAGCCAGGTATGAGTAATCCTATGAGCGAGAAACACTGTTCAAATTTCATTCCATTCGACAATAAGAATATGCCTTACTCTGATTTGATTGCCCTTACAAACCCATGAGATTGGCATTTAATGCATCGTTCTTACACGTATCAGGTGAAAATGACCCTTCACAGGAGCCAGAGGAAAAGCAAAGGTTCAGCAGAGGCCATACCGCGTCTGAACCGCCTATTCAAACCATACGGGATGAAGGAGATGCGCTAAGGAGCGGTCTCGCAGCAGGCAGAACACGCCAAAGAAAGTTGGTGAAACAGTCAGAGGCGTGATGCAAGCACAAGATTCGGATCCCATCAAGTCGGATCAAGGACTGACCCGCCAACTCATAACCCAAGTACCGATCCGGTATACTAACTTGGGTTAGATAAAATTCTATAAATACTTTATCTCTTCCAACGAGGAAGAGAACTTTTTTCGCTATCTTAAAACTCATATTATATCTTTAGATACTTGTGATCCTTGAGCTCTAGCATCTTATACATTCCAGTCATTACTCCGACCAACCCTCCAATTCCTCTCCACGGTGGTCTCTAAACCGTGGAGCATTCCCACCCACAAACTCTTCTATTTCTATTGTAAAAAGCCCATTACCGCTCAAAGGCCCGCCGAGTTAATTCCACTTTTCTAAAGAATGCTTGACCCACTTTTCTTCTCTTGTTTTCCGAACTCCTTCTTCTCTCCGATTAGCAATTTTTTGAATATATATATATATATATATATATATGGATTGATTATTATGGAAAATATGTAATATTTTATAGTATCACAATAATTAAGAAATTAAATAGTAAAAATCCTTTTGAAATGAGAAACAAATATTTTTCATATTCTTTTCAATAGTTTTCAAAGACAATTATATTCTTTTTATTTCAATTATCTAATATTGGCATAATATATAACAATTTATAAAATTGCTTGTGTTCTTACTGTTCTACACTTTCTATTTCGTGTTGATCATTCTAGGTGAGGGAGTGATTCAAATCCGAGAGAGACATCTCTGTTCTTTAGTGTAGAAGGTGTTCGATAGAATTCTTCAATCACAAAAAAATAAAATTCATTTTTCTAAGTAACTTCTTAAATAATAATAAAAAGTACGTTATTGTGATATTTCGATGATCCAGTTAGATTATTATAGATAACAAGCTATCTTATGCCAAGTGGATATGATGTGTAAACCTTAGACAATATACATTGGCTGTCTCTCATCAAGTCTTTTATATTTAAAATAAATAAAATACAAAAAAAATAGTAGAGAGAGTGGGAGGAGTCTCTTATTGAGACATTAAAACTCTTAACTCTCATATTCTTTTTATTATTGGTTTATTTTAAAGTAAAATTTAATAATAAAATTTAATTCTGTTAAAATATAAATATTTCTTTGTTGAGAGACCTTTTTTTTTAGAGACTATGAATGCAGATACTCTTAGACACAAGTTTAAAATGTATTAATTACTAAATTAAACTACTAAAAAAAAGAGATTGCTTTTTTGTATTCTATATTTAGTTGTTTTATTCATTTTATTAATTTTTAATTGTTTTTTAATAAATAAAAGCAGCTGAAAGAGAGCGTTCAGATCATCTTGAGTTGATGAGAGATGTGCACATGAAAAAATCAACCAAAGTGATTCAGAATCCTCTCATAAATGAAATTTATGGAAATGTGAAGAAGAAGAAAGATGACAAGGTGACTTCTCTTCCCCTATTATTTTGTCACGAAAGGAAATCAACCGCCTGCTTCACGAAGTAAGTTCTTTTTTGTTTGTTTAGATTTAATTTGTTTTTAGCTTTCTAATTTTGTTATTGAAAAACTTCTTGTTTTACTTGTGCAAGAACTTCTTGTAAAAAAAGAAATTTCGACGTGGTTTTGGATAAAGTTTTATCTACCAAGAAGTCTTTGCGTTATTCTGCTGTTCTCCAAGATCTCGTTGAGCAGAACGAACAGACCAAGGCAAAAGTAGTGGCTTTGGAGAAAGTGAAGAAGATACAGAGTTGAAGCTAGATGTTAATCAAGAGAAGCTTACTAAGACGAAATCGAAAGTCGCAACCATGTATAGTTGGATAAAGGCAAGGTTCCCCGATTTCCTAGACATGGAAACCGAAAGTTCGGAAACAGGAAATTCATAATAGGATAAATAATTTTATTTTTGTAATTTGGATAATTATTATTTATAAAATATTTTTAATTAATTTATAAAATTTGATTTTTTTGAATTAAATTTAAATTTTGATTTTTTTAATTATA